GTAGATAACTGGAGTAGTTTTATTCAACCATACCGAAGACAACAAAATTCATTTTCTGTAAGATGCGAATTTCGTGCACCGTACATGTCGGGTTCGTTAGCACCAGAATCTTTCAGTCAAGGGTTAGCGAATCGAAGATGAGCGTTACTTGTAAGAAGAACCCTAAATTAATTCTTTCCTTCTTATTTCTGCAGCTTTGAGCTGACAATGAACAATTTAAGGCTCTTCTTATAAATTCTATAACTTTGGAAAGAAAGGTCGTGTAGAGCTGAGGGATGTATCATTTTAATCAGAAATTTGCGTGCTACAATCCTGCATTATTAAGAAAGGCTGGGTGATTTTTTGGAATTTCTGAAAAACTGGTTTTCCAGAAGACTGGATCTTCGAAGAGCTATGGGCCAGTCCCATGATCATACTCGGAATCAGCATGGTCGATGACCTATAACCCACTAGATTCCGATCAAAAAGCTTTTAATCACCTGGAAAGGTTTCCTCGTAAGTAAGTAAGTCTTTAACCTTCATTGTTCGATCTTCACGAATCTTTTTTATGGGTTGATGTTATAAGCTTTTACGTGAGGTTCTACTCACTCACTTCTCATATTTATTTGGATAAAGTGAACGGCTATATATAGTACACAAGTTGAACAACAGTTATGCAAGAGTTGTGCAGGAGTTGTGCAAGAACAGAAAGAGTTGGGAAAACCAGCGGATGGCAAAAGTAGTGCGCAAGAACCGAAAGAATTTGGAAAACAACTGCAAAACAGAAAAGAAAAGATGAAACAAGTGTTGCGCAAGAACAGACAGAAAGGAAAAGAAGAAGAGAACATAGTCTTACGAGCTGCCAGGAATGGCTGATCATAACATTTTACTTCTTTCATGCAATGCTCATGTCATTTTTCTTCCACTAAAATAAAGTTGAATTTGAAGTAAGTGTATGTGCTACATAGAGAATTGAAGTTATCAAAAAACAGAAAGATATTTATTTTATCGCTTTCAGAATTGTCTGCGGGGATGTCAGAAGCAGGTGGTATTCTTTAGTAACTAATTTGGTCACAATAGAAGTGTCCGATTTGGACATTTTTATTATGTTTTTCATCTGCCCCAAAAAGTGGCCTTGGTTTGCGCATGTTGTTCTCTAATGCATATTACTTTCATCAAAAATGAGTCAAAAAATGACTGCTACAGAAAAAATCAAAGCGTTACGACTTCTTCTACGTCATGAGTGATTTCTATGCCACTTTTGGCCAGAAAATAGGCTAAAACATGAGTTTTGAGGGCCATAGACGAATCTGTAAATGAATATTACTGAGCGATTTTTGTAAGACCTCATTACACTTAGGAGCCATTAAAGATAAGCCGGACCTATTATCGTATAATGTTGCTCACTCGACCATCTCAGATTTCTTCCAATGTTGGATGAAATCTTAGATGGTCCATTGAGCATCTCAAGCACACATCATCTATGAGAAAATCTAGATACATTTCGTCTATAATCGAGTGATACACGACTAGTTGTCATTTAGATTACTAGTTGGAAAAGGGACTTTTAACTAGATGCGTCTGCATGTGCATCTAGCAATAGTTAAATTGATCGATTATCGGGCGATAAATCGATAGTCGCAACTAGAAAAAATCTAGTAATTGATTCTTTGTTTAAGGTGAAAAATTTTATTATTTCAACATGAAAAAGGTGATTTGATTCTTCATTTGTATTATAAAATCTAGTGATCGCTCAATTACTAGATTTCCACTGCCGTTATACAGTAGTTGCAACGAGTAAAAATCTAGTAATCTGGATGAGTCAGGTGATACTAGATTTTTTTTTTAACGCTTGGGATTATACAGTAATAGGCCGCGGCTTATCTTTAATGGCTGCAAATAAGCAACTTCAGCAACCCAAACGATCTCTGACTTTTAGCGTTAATGCATGGTTTTTCAATCCTTTCTTTTAGTAATGTTGAACTGAAAAGAAAGGCTATTTCGATCGTTTCGATCGAAATTTCTGTAAGTAATAGCGTTTTTTGAGCTATGTGAATAGCAGCCCACTCCAGCTGTTTTTGTTTGACTGACTGAGCTATTTTCTTTCATAGGGCGTGTATCAGCGACAAGTGTAATTAGAAGAGCCAAAAATCAGGTGTGTCACACACTACGTTTTTACATAATGGAAAGGTCTGCTTTAGTTACCAGATCGTATAGTAAAACAATGAAATAATGTAGTGTGCTCTCTAATTCGCCTGACGATAGTCGAGTGGATCAAAGTTGTAAACATTTTTCTAAAGTTCATTGAAACCAATTTAGATACTTACATTGCACAATACTGGAATTTTCTCATCTGAACAGTCGTTTTTTTCTTCAATTTCAAGAAGACAGTTAGCAACATCCTTTTCATCTATTTGAGATTTTAATTTTGTTTGTAAAACTGAATAATATGGTTCTGTTCTATATGGCGATGGCAAATGCTTTTCTTCATCAATCAGCTTCTTGATAATATCGTTATGGGGATCATAATAATGCTCAACTGTACGATAATCATCATTAGCACGTATAAATGGTAACGCAAAGAATTGCTCAGCAAAAGTGGATAGTTGCGCTTGAAGACTATACCAATTAATCATTGTCCATTTTGTAACTGTTAGCACATGATTTGACCAATTATTTTGAATACAATAGCGTAACACTTCTAAAGTAAGGTTTGCTTGTGAATATGTCGGAACTGACAATGTTTTCATCAACGCATTCGTATCATCCTTATCACACATAATCAGATGTCTTTCTATCGGAATGTCATTGGGAAATGTTGGCATTTGAAAACGACTTTCAGCTATTGAGGTAAACTGCGTACGTTGACCACCTTTTCGAAATATCCGTAATTCACTTACTAGATTCATGAGTGTAACATTTTGCTGTATAACACGAACAGCATTTGCTAAACATGTTCTTAAATTCAGTTTTTGTTCATCAGTAAATTTTTCTTGTACAATTGAGTGAAGAATATTTTTGTTCGATTTATTGATAGTTTCTAACCAAGCACAAAATGAGACACTAGATAAGTCTGGAATATACTTCGAACGTTGAGGATGATTTACTAGATTGTAAAATTCATCTGTGTCGTATTGTAGAAGCACACATTTGAGACCATGATTTTTAAACACTTGTAATGTATTAATGTATAAATCGAAACATGTATGATTAACAGTAATCAGGAAAAGACGATGATTAATAGTTAATGGTTGAAAAGTAAATGATGGTTGAATCGTTGTTGTTGATGTTGTCGACTTCTCATTTATATGTGCTAGAGAACTATTATTATCTCTCATTCTATATTTGGTACGATATTCTGATTTTTAAACAAGTGTAAACCATCTGAAAATTTCTCAAATAAATACCTCCATAGGATAACAGCCCAATCTCTAGTTCGTTGAGATGTACAACATTGTCGAAGAAGTTGTGGAAAATCAGCATGATTGTACATCTTTATTTGTGTTTGCTCTAAACACAATATTGAAATTAGAAAGATCAGAAGGTATAGGGGTTGGCGGTAAGTAAAAGAAAATTAAGTATAATGCTGCAAATACATAATTATTTCATCAAACTAATAAAAGTAACCAATGCGCGCTTTCGATCTGCTCACCGTCATTCCTTTTATATTCTTCTCTCCTTTTCTTCATTCTTCTTTCCTTAACTATATGTCGAAAGATCTTATACGTGTAACTAAGGGAGCGCCACGTACGCATGAAAAGATCGTACTAAGATTAAAGCTCCGAAACTATCTGTGTCTGGTTCTTAGCTGATGAGCTGCAAGAGAGGAGAAAAGTGATATTATGTTTAATATGTACATGTTGTAGCTTTCCTGGTTCTATTGTTACATTATAGATGTATAGGCTCGATATATGTTCACCATTTCAAAATCATTAGCAGTTTAATTTTGAACTCTGCCAGTATACGCTCTCTTAATTTATTACCAGATTTTCAAAAACTCGTAAGCCGTGCTTGCGAAGTATTCTGAAGATGAAACTTACATGACAAACGTCTTCTAACTGACTGATTTCGAATGTGATAATGCATAATAGGCCGCCCAGAGCGCATAAAGCCGCTCTACTCTGACCGGTCTACTTACTACCGTAACACAAAAAGAGATCAAATTAAGTAGTCAAAACTGTGCCCACAATGTATTCTGCTAGCCTTTTTGCCCATTTGTTTGTAGTTTTTCTGTGTTAATCAGCGAGCTGCGCCTAGCACTCATATACTCTTTCTTGCATTGTTATACAAATCATTTCGCATAAAGAAAATCTATTATTATACCTGTTTGAGCAATGTTTTCTATTATCGAATTGCTATTTCCAGGTAGTGGAAGAAGTACAAACTTCATCTCAAGTCCAATTAAAATGTTTGGAACAATCGCTTCATGATTATCCACAAAATAGATAAGTGCTGATGGTTCTGATCGGCAATCAAATATTGTCCAACTTCCATCCAATAATGGTAGTAAAGCTACATTATGTAAACTTCCTACTGGTGCTCGTAAACTATATTCTAGCAATAGTAAGCGTTCAGCGCAAGAAACATGATCCAATGAACATCCCGATATGCATTTACATAATAAACTAGGTGTTATTAAGCGTACCTCGTTTGTGTGAAACATTTGAAAAAATTTCAGCGTCTTATTTGGCATAGATGCTACTTGTGAATTTTCGAAACATCGAAGAATGGCTACTTCAAACCGCTTGTCACCGTCATCTGACAAATTATTGACAATTATTTCTGATATTAACCGTTTATGACCATCCAAGCACATTACAATTGGTTTTTTAGCAATTTTTTGAAACACTGGCTTAAGTAGTTCGTGCCATTTCTTTGATATTACATCGAGATCTGGCAGACATTGATAAACCATTAGTGAATCTTTGAAGCGATGGTTGCAATATTCAATTAGTTTAACGTATGTACGTGAAATAACTTGTGTAATCAACAATTCGTTCCATATACCATCATTGTCTTTATATGTTTCTGTTGTAACCCATTTTAAATCGCGACGATTATCTGTTAATCCAAAAAATCCGTTGAAATGTACTGGAAGACCATGTGTAACGCCGTCAGGTAATGGAAGAGAACAGAACAATCGACCACATGATGTATTTGGATCAATGTCTTGTTGGATGGCACAACCTCCAAGCGGCAAAGTTTTCAATAAGCAAATGAAATCACGTAAATCTTTTCCACAGGAACGAAGAAAAAGAACTTCAGAAATAAGAAACTTATGTTGCTTGATTGAGCCCATCGTGACGTTCTAAAGAAATTCGTAACATTAGTATTTATGAGACATGTGAGCAGCGAGAGTATTATTCATTCTTTTAGGAGCTTTTGATTGACTTTGCGTTAGACAGAGCAAGATTCAATAGAGTTACATTATACTTCTATTGACTAGCTTTTTAGCTATTTTTTTCATGCCCTTCCATTTTGGTAAATAAAGTTCAAGTTCAAGTTCAAGAGCAGCATATACTGATTATGCTTTTGAGTGGCATAAGCTTGAAGTTTTGCTTAAAGTTTTAATCTAGCTTAGTTAAATCTGTCAGTTTGTAGAGAGAACACCTTCAATGATATGTTTAAGCTAGAGACTTCACATGCAAAGAGTGTATAACGCTACACTGTAAAAAACAAAGTGTGTAAATGACACACATAAAATGAGCGCCAAGTATATTCCCAGTGAGTGTCTAGAATGCACGGCGTAGGTGTGTAAAGTACACACTGAGAAGTGACTGTGTAGCTTCATACACTGAGACCAATGATATAATCTACTTGTCTAAACTATCTGTACTGGAAATGCCTCAGATTGATCAATCGATTGTCCAAATCTACCATATGTCGATGTTGTTTTATTTCACTTTTTTTCATATCCATTTTTGCTAGAAATGACAGCATATGTACTTTCGAAGATGGCGATCATGATTCTGGAATTATTTTTTCATTTGATGTAGTAGTTCAGCAGAAAACTGGAAAATAAGAAATATTTTTAACACACTGAGATTGATCAGCTAGAGGAGGTACACCAAGGGGGAAACAGCAGATTTTGTGACTTTTGTAATCTGGGCTTTGTTCGACAGGCAGTCAGTTTTTTTCAAATTTTGTTGTACTCCTGGAGACTGCCTGGTATTCTTCGTGACTTCGCTGAGCTCGAAGAATTTTCCTGACTGTTTTTGAATTTTCCCGCGTTTTTTCCGCTTAGCCCCATTTTCAGTCATTTTTACAGAGTTTCGGGATTTCGTCGGATTCTAATCCCCTTTTCCGATTTTTTCTTGTACTCCCAGGGATTCCTCCAGTTTCCCGAACTTTGAGAATTATGTATAGGATTCTCCAGGCTTTTTACGTCTGGGAGTCCACAGCTACTTGGAATTCAGCTGTTTCCCCCTTGAGGTACACACTTGTTGATGTGGAGTGAACGTTTAGAAGATTTACATACCTAGTAACACACTTTATTTTTTACAGTGTAGTTTTAACAAAAAAATGTCAAACGCCTGTCTTAAGTTGACATCATAGGGAAAGAACTGCTCAAGCATAATCGCACAAATGACTTTACCTCTTCTGTCAATATTATTTCGTGTTGTTGCTCTATATCTTCTGCGTCGAACATTTCCGCTCCAGTTGAAGAACATCTTTCAGTGATTTTATTTTTCATTAAGGTACGCAACTCCCTATCCGCTGATCGTTCAACAGAAATACATGCTAATTTTTTTGGATGTTGTAATTGTGGACCGATTTCATACAACTCAATCAAATGTATGTTTCGTAAGAATAGAATATTGTACTTGAGATCATCGAGAAAGCCTTTGATCACATTTTGAATATCTTCTTCGGAAACTGGCTCTGGTTTTTGCGCAAAGAGTTTTGTTGTTGTACAAGCCTCTGCATTTCGAAAGGGAAATCGAAATAATGTACCACCGAATGATGTTGTAAAATCTAAACCTGGTACTTTATTTCTGTAAGGCTCAAATTGATCAGAAGATGCCTTTATTATATGATTGTTTTTCAAAAAATCAATACGTCTTCCTCTTGTTGGATGTGATTGTGTAGAAAAATAAGCTCCATGTGGATCAAGAAAACCGATATAGCGACCACTAACCACCGACGGCAGATCTTAAATAAAAGTATATGATATAATTTTTCAAGCAGTTGCATAGAAAGCAAAAGGAGACTAGATAAGGTACGTGCGGCCGCACGTTTTCTGGATCCGCGCCTGACTCAACATACTATATAGGAAACAAATCTCTAGGTGAAAGTTACATTTCTGCATTAAACTTCATTCGGCAGCGGCGAAAATTCTTCTCCATATACAATTGGATGCTCTCTATACAACTACACCAGAGTCGGAGCTTCAAATTGGAGGTTTAATTAGGTATCACAAAAGCTACAAATCAGGAAAGCGAAAAAATTTCAGCGTATATACTTCGAAGTGTCCTCTACAAGTAAGCTGAAAAAGCCGGGCACAGGAACTTTATCCGTAAATTTATCTTCAGCTTATCAACATCATAATTTAAATAACCGAGAACTCAGATTATGAGTAGGACAGCTCTGTGATTGATCCACCAAGTTCGGCTTGCATTCGCAGATCGATTCGTGTAGTTCAATTCGCTGAATCTGAATTGGACATTTTAGAACTGACACATCATTATTCATGGTTTGTACATTTATGAGAACCTGAACTAAAGCGAGTGAACTCATCTAAAAGAGATCATGGACTGATGAGAAGACGCAGTCAGTTATTTGTGCTGAGATATGGAAATGGTTATAATAATACATTCTAGATAAAACCCTCAGTTAGAAAGTTGAGAAAGAATTAGTTAAGTACGTTTGAAAAGACGCATCTGTAAATTTGCTCTAACCCGCACACTTTTCTACAGAACTGCAGGAGATCTGTGTCAGAACTTAATGTTGTATGCGCTAATTTTCTGAAAGGACGTAACATAGAACTGCGCATCACCGCACGGAAAGACACCTAACTCGTTCCGTGTTTCAAGGAAGATTTCAGTCAATCAAACCTGAGGCTCCTAGCTTTATTTCGAAAAGTAGAATGATGCTTGGTGGTTGTATTCTGTGCGCAGCACTGCGTTGTGGGCGCAGCAGTAGATCAGGCCTGTAATGCATTATTCCTATTTCGTTACCTGTCAGATGATAAACGGATTTAAAACCTAGTCCAAATTTTCCAATTTTTAATGCATTTTCGCTTTTTGCGCTTTCCTCAATGTTTTGAATGTTTTGCCAGTCCAGCTCACCGAATACTTGATTGTTATAGCACAATAAAGCCGAACCCTAACAATAAATAAAACAAAGTTAAGGTCTACTCGCATTACATGTACAGTGCGTGTCAGGCGCTCATGCCTCCCTGTCCCACTGCCAAAGGGGCCATGTATGGCTTGAAGACAGGTGGGAGAGAAATCAAGAAACCGCTGTTATGCTACTCCAACGACAAGAATGTCTACTCCACGAGAATTTTGTATCTCTCCACAGAAATTTAATTTCTCTACGTCACGGGAAAAATGGATTTACACCTGATTTATACCGTTCCCTGTGAGAATTGTGCATAATGCAGAAGATATTATGCTCTCTTCACGAGAGTTTTGTATCTCTCTTAAAAGTTTTCTTGTCTGTGCCACGGGAATAATGTATGTACACGAGAATTATGCTGTTTTCTGTGAGAATTACAGACAATCTGGAAGATGTGTAAAGCCAAATATCTTCTAGACGGCGCATAACTCTCACAGTAGTCAGCACTATTCTCGCTTACTAGACAAGAAACTGAGTAAGAATAGATATAAATTCTCGTGACAACAGCATAATACCCTGTAGATCATGCATGAATGTCGCGGCAAACAGCATAATTCTCGCGAAGATGCATTATTCTCACGTACCAGTGAAGAAACTGGATATGAACAGCTACCGACTGTCTTTTCGACAGCAATACATTTTCTAAACTTTGCATTTTATAGAGTAAACATTTCTATGGCTAGTTCTTCAAACATGGAAAAAAAGTCAAAAACAAAATGAAAATCCTTTCAGAACATAACCAGATAACTCTTAAACATATTGTCATGGTCGTTATCTCATTGTCAATAAATGCTTTCATTTTTTTCTCATCGTAGAAAATCGATGAGAAAAAGCGTGATTTCAAGTTTTAACGAAAAAAGTGTAGAAAAAAACATAGAAGAAAACCTATGAATTGATAAAGTCTTGAAGGATATCTTCAGTTAGATCTGGGAAAAAACTGATATTTTAGCGGAGAAATATCCGAGTTGAATTTTTTGGAGTTAACATTACTCCTTTTGTCAGACCAGTTCTCATAAGAACAGAGAACTGCTACCGTAAACGTGCTAAGCCGGTACTGTCTGGTAGCCAGTCTGGTATTTTGTGCCAACTGGAACCCAAGCACTGGGTTGAGCTATAGGCC